TCACATCAAGATAGATTGCTGTTGTGCTTCTAATATTGTCTCTGAGAAACCACCAGCTCTCCTGAACATTTTTTCCCCCTTAGATTGTTTTCCTATTGGACCTAACCTACTAGTTCTCTGAATTTTAGTCTGCTTTTTTTAAATACATTGTCCTTACTCTGCTGCTGCCATTCCTTCCTTTCCTTAGAATCATGAAATCATCATTTCATGGTCACTTTTTCCCAAATCACCTTCCGACTTCAGATTTGTAACTAATTCCTTCTTGTTAATCTGAATCAATTCTAAAGGACTGCCCCCCTGGTTGATTACTTCATCTTGTGAAACAAGAAGTTGTCCCCAGTATATTCCAAAAACTTATTTGGCATTTTGTGTTCTGCTGCGTTACTTTTCCAACAGGTGTCTGCATGGTTAAAGTCCCACATTATTACCTTTGGCTAGTTCTGTAGTTTTGTTCTAGAAATGTAGTTCATCCTCTCTCTACAGTCTTTTGTGAGACTTGTCAGATTGGGTTCCATATTCTGTATTGTAAACTTTTAAGTACAGCAATCCCATCTGCTGCTAGTGATTAGCAGCTGCATGATGGCAGTGTATCTTTAACCAATGCCTTTGGGCTCTTTTGAAAGAGGTGTCCAAGCCCAGGGTTCAGGCCTGTCAGGGTTTGGTCAGAGCCATGTCTAAAATTTGGTTTTAGAGTATTCTGTAGTGTTCTAAAAATTTGGGACAGTAAATTAGGGGAAACCTGAAGTTTGAGAGAACTCCCTTCCCTGTTGCCCATAGATTGGCGTGTATTCTTAAATTTCTTTGCCCTTCAGAGTTTGATCCAGGAAGGCAGGGATGCTGTCCCTAGCCTCTGCTTGCCAGAAGTTGGGAATGGGTGACAGGGCATGGATCACTTGATGATCAACTGTTCTGTTGATTCTCTCTGTGGCACCTGGCATTGGCCACTGTCGGAAGATAGGATACTGGGGCTAGATGGACCTTTGGTCTGACCCTATATGGCCATTCTTATTTTCTTAAGGCCTTGTTAGAATCTGTGTTGTTTATAAAGACTTACTGCTTTTTCAAGTAGGTATGAGAGAGAGTGTGAAGTATTCTCTTCATCAGTTGACCAGGCACCTCTGATTGCATCATGGCCAAGAATCTGACTCGCCTTTAAAGAAATAATCTTTCTTGTAGTCCTTAGTACTAGCCTCCACTAAGTCTTCTAGTTGGAAACAGTGTGGCCTCTTTTCTGTTTTCCAGTGAATGCTGGCATACAGTCACATTCCACAATCTTGGATTTGCCTTCTATTTCCTGGCCACCTGTGCTAATTCAGAAATTGATACAGGTCATTTAGTTACTGTTCAGTGGTAAGAGGCACAGTCCACCTCACTTAATAAAGGAGTATTCAGCTTACCACTCCACTCCTTTTTCCCTTCCTGCTAGAGGAAACTTAGAACTCTGACTCTCATCTGGAAATGCCTTTTGGAGACTTAATATAGGAGCTCAGATCATAATGACGTGAGAAGCAAGTTGTAGCCAGCCTCTTGGACACAGTGTAAGGAAAGGGCAGGGGATGGTGCAGTGAATCATGCCCATCCCTCTACAGGATCTGGGCATAGTTTAGGGTTTTATGTTCATGTTAGTACAAGGATGGGCAGAGCTAGCTACTAACATCTCTGAAAATCTGCAACACCACTGGCTAGCCACAGAAGAGAATACCTGCTGCAGCCCCTGAAGGGGTATAGTAATGGATGTGCTTGCTCCTAAGGTAGTGCAGACCAGGTCGGCACCAGCCCCCATCCAGGCCAGTGCTTTTAAAAGGTACAGTGGAGCTCTTAGTTTTTTAATATGCTCTTTCATGCTCTGACTCAGGGCCTTTAGAAGATTCTGTGAGAATATTGCAATTTATTGTGTACTCAGATTGCTTTCAGTGGTGGATGGCAGCAGCTTTCACCAGTCTTTTCCATGACATTACTTGGAAAATCCACTTGCTTGCTTATGAAGGTTAATTTTGAATCTGTAAGGTGTGTGACCTCTATGCAAATTGTATAACTATAATAATCCCTATGGTTCTTTCCTGTCTGTTCCATGCAGATTGCTAATTGAGCATTTTCAGTCTTTCTATCGGTTAGCTTCCATTAGTATTTCACAGTGCTGTGGCCTCTTTGTCACTTTGTGCTCGTCAACAAACTTCCCTTCTAGATATGTGTAAGAAAAGATACCCAAACTTGGGCCCTGTTTAGGTTTATTTTTTACTCGACTTTTTTACTTTTTGACGGTCTCTTGGATTCTTGGAACCCCCCTCAGTCAGTTCCTGTTTGTGTCCTCTTCTTTCTTCCCATTACTAGCCTCCTGAAGTAGGGAATTCCCATTTGCTTTATTTAGTTAAGTTCTGACTTGAAATTTTCATCTTTTTTTTGCAAGATGTATTTATGAGCTCTTTGGTGCAGCTACCTGTTTTTGTTGGGTGGTTTTTTTTTTAATAGTACCTAGCACATCAGGGTCCCTAGGTGCTACTGCAATACTACTAGTAGTAGTCTGATAGCTCTTTCATAGAAGGGAAAGTGCCTGGACCTTCAAGTTAGGGAGAAACCATTATTTTAAAAACAAATTCTGACTAGTTCTGTCTTCGTTTTCTCTTCTCCCCCATTAATTTAAATAGTTTCGGAATTAGTAACTTAAAACTTAACACCTCTTTCAGGAAAAATGAAAGTAGGTGTGCCCTTCTGCAACCTTGCTATGTGGTGTTAAAGGCCTAAGCATCTTAATTTATACATCTTCCACCTGGATAGTCTTTCTTCCTCATCTGCCACTTTGGGAAATGCTGGTGTAGCTCTTCTTACCATTTTACCCTCCTTTCTTAACTGCTTAGAGCAGTGAAATAGTTTAATAATATTTTTAAATGTCAACATAGTTATTTATCATTGGTATCTGAGTTCATTGAAATGAATGGAGCAATCCACATCTCAGAGCTGTTGCTTGAGGGTGTCTGCAAACCCATGCAGGTGTTTCTGCATCAGTTGCATTTGCCTAGTGTTAAAAGGTTTTCTTCACAACCATAACAGCTAGAGTCCTTTTTTTTTTTTTTTTTTTTAAATAAAAGCTGAGACTCAGGAGGAAATTTACCAGGTCTGTCATTCATCTAGTCCTTTGCATACATGCCCCTTTTCCAGTGAGGCGAGGGAATATGACCCACTCTTTAGGAGACACTGACTTAAGTGGTTATGGGTTTCACTTGATCCTGAGCTGATCGGAGGGAGCTATTAACTTTTTGTTCAACAAAGGATATGTTCCTGAAACTTGCATTGTTTGAAGTCTCTAATCTTGGGTTTTCTGTAGCACCTGTTAAATAATATCTGTGCTGACAGGTAAGCTAGCACAAGCAAGGCCCATAGGGGATGGCTTGAGTATTCTGGTAGGGAAATTAAGAAGGTCTCCTTCTCTAAGTCAGTGGTGTTTCTGGTTGTGGAGACCAAAGGAAGTGAACCAAATTGTGTGCGCGCGCTTTCTCTCTATCTATCTATATAAGCTTAGCTATATCCTTCTGTTAAGGAATTGGTCTTGGTATAGTGGTAGTTCTGCTTGTAAAGATTTTTACCTCCTTTCTGATCAGTGTGGCAAGCAAACTACAATCTTCTAGGAAACAACCCTAGTCCATAGCCTTTCAAATTCCATAGTCCAGTCTGTGTCAAGGTTTAGGGTTTCATGCTGGACCTAGTCAGCTGTCCTTCACAGGCCTTTCTGAATTATTCCTACATCATGCTTGTTAATAATGAAATAGTAGTTCTGACTAAATTGAAAAGAACATTATTCTACCTATGTCGCATTGGTATAATTTAGATCCTGTCTATAACTTGCTCAGTTCCTTTGTTTTCATGTATTTGGCAAGATCAATTTATTATACTTCAGGGGCATTTCAACAAAGGAGCCAGTTCAATGGATTGGGTATGTTAATCTCCTAAATTATCCCTCTGTTGGTCCATCTCCTTATTTTCAGGAATTTAAAGTAATAAGCTTCTTGCCTAAACTACAAAATCTAAGAAGTAAAGATCCAGTTTTCTGGCTGGGAAGTTTTGTTTCATGGTGTATCTAGTTAGGAAAGATTCATCAGCATTCTCTATTCCTCCCTCTAATTCTGCTGCTGCCAACCCCCTTTGTCTACACTATTTTGTTACATTTTCTTATTACCCTTCAATGTTCGTATTTCTAAAGATAGGCTTCCTGTTGTCAGAGGCCATTCATGTAAATTCTTATCAGTGGGGAAGGGCAAAGGGAGAACTCTTTCAAATTGAAACTTTTGTCTGTAACTGTTGGTGTCCTATCTGGCTCCATTTAATTCATAATCTCGCTAAATTAGAAAATTCAATGCCAGTGTTCCATCTTGGACCAATATTGAGCGAAATAACAGAACAAGTCCCCAGCATTTATAATGTCACACACTTTGAAATAAGAAACAAGAGCAAAAAACAAATCATAAGGAAAGCATAACTAAGCATAGCTTTTATATTTTATTGTTAGGAAGATGAGTGATGTTAATTATTGTTGTCTTAGATACCAGAATGCCATGGACAATTGCTAAGTCATGTTAAGTTTGTTTTGAGGGTGGTTTTTACTCAAGATAAAGAAATAGATTGTCAAAATAAGCTACAGAAGGTGATAGATTTCAAGATTTAGATTTAGGAGTCTGGAGTCTGTGTAAAGGTCAGATGCTTCGGACTGTAATTTTAGAAATTAAGCATTTTGAGATGTTTAAATAGGAAGATACTTTTTTAAAGGCACATAGTATATTGATTTTATTGAAAAGTATATTGTCTCCCAAATTTTGCTTAGAAGCCAGATATGTGCAAAGGCTAAGTTAGTTTTAAAACTAAGATTGATAAATAATTCCTTAATGGAAATTTGCTAAGTTTATGTTCTTTCTCTCTCATCACTTGCAGATAGTTAGTCAGTAAGAGCAGCAGCAGCAGTCAAGGTGGGTTGATGAATGAGTGTAATTCAGTTTCTTTGTATTGTGCAGCTTGAGAAATGCCAGTGGACTGACAGCAGCAGATCTTGCACATACCCAGGGCTTCCAAGAGTGTGCCCAGTTTCTCTTGAATCTCCAGAACTGTCACCTGAACCGTTTCTTTAGCAATGGCACGTTAAATGGAGGTCCCAATCCAGTCAATGGTGGGACAAGTCGAAAGAGATCCTTTGAAGATGTGGATTCTGCTGGAGTAAAGAAAGCTAGGACTGAAGGTGAGATTTCAGAGCTAAAAGTGGGAGGGGCAATATCACTGTTGACTGTGAGAGTAAGAGACAGTACTCCGGGCTATACAGTTTATTTTTGACATCCCTAAAAAGGGATACATGAATCAAATATGAATAAAATAATTATGAAAACAAGACTGGCGGCCTCCTTAAAGAATTATTAAAGAATTAGGTTCCCACTCTTAGCGAGTACATGCCTCACTTCTGCAAGTCCTAGAGCTATATGGACAGGAAGTAACTTGGAGGGAATGTGTGCACCCTCTTCTGACTCAGATGTTGATTCATAAAAGGATTGTGGAGCATTTTTTGGCTACTTTCTGTCATAAAGATCATATAATCACAGAAATATAGGGCTAGAAGGGACTTGGAGAAGTTGTCAGATCCAGACCCCTGTGCTGATGCAGGACTAAGTAAATGTAGACCATCCCTGACTGATGTTTGTCTAACCTGTTCTTAAAAACCTCTAATGTTGTGGGTTCCACAACCTCCCTTGGAAGTCCATTCCAATGCTTAACTAACCTTGGAGTTAAAGATGATTCCCCCCCCCCCCTCCTAATATCTAACCTATATTTCCCTTGAAGCAGATTATGCCCATTATTACTTATCCTATCCCAGTGGACATGGAGAACAATTGATCACCATCTTCTTTATAACCACCCTGAACATATTTGAACACTATTATCAGGTTCCTCCCCCCTTCCCCGTCTTCTTTTCTCAAAACTAAACATGCTCAGTATTTTAACCTTTACTCATGGATCAAGTTTTCTAAACCTTATCATTTTGTTGCTCTCATCTGGGCAGTTTCCAGTTTGTCTACATCTTTTTCCTAAAGTGTGATATCTAGAATTGGATATAGTACTTCAGCTGTAGCCTCACCAGTGCTAGTAGAGCAGGACATCTGCCTCGCTTGTCTTACAACACGGGAGGTAATTGTCCAGTCCTGCTTAGTACTCCAGCTAAGGCCTCACCAGTGCCATGTCCAATTCATAACCATCATTTGTTTGTTCTTCAACTGTTTGCCATTGCCTAGTTCTTGCTTAATATAATATATGTAATGTTAACTGCCTTCTCAATAGGAGTTGTGTACTTAGCTATATGGCCTTCTTAAAGGACCCAGAATATAAATAGCCGCCCTCACCAACAATCCCACTGTTTTTCTGTCTTCCATATGCTGTAGTTGGGGACATTTTTCCTTCCCTTCAGCATTATGCAGTAGTTAAAAACTTCCCAAAAAATGCTGTATAAATAGTTTGTTAGACAAGATTTTCCACAGGCAAAACCCTGTGGAAGGTCCTGGCCAGATTTGGCTGCACTCCAAAAATTTATTAAGGTCCTAAGGCTTCTCCATGACTGCCACCACTCTCTGTAATGGCCTGGAGATGCACGCTTTTGTCATCAAAATTGGGGTTAAATAGGGATGTGTTATTGCCCGAACTGTGTTTTCCATCTATTTAGCAGTCATTTTGGTCCTCTTTAAAGGCCACCTCCCCAATAGAGTTGACATTCAATACAGAATGTCTTTTTAATCTTCAAAGTCTCCGCTTGAAGTCTAAAGTCCTCAGGGCGTCCATTACTGATCTTCAGTAGGCTGATGACTGTGCCATCCTCGCGCACACTGAGAATGACCTTCAGTCCACATTGGATTTTTTTGCACAAGCTTATTGAAGCTTAGGACTCTCACTCAATATTGGGAAGACTAAAATGCTCCATCAGCCTGCTTCAGGCCTTGCACACAATCCACCACAAATCATCATCGAGGGACAAACTTTGGAGACAGTTGAGCACTTCTGCTACCTCGGTAGTCAACTTTCTCAAAATGCAAAAATCGACAGTAAGGTCCAGCACAGGATCCAGTTTGCAAGTGCTTCCTTTGGGAAATTGCTCCAACGTGTTTTCACAGACCGTGACCTACAGCAGGATACCAAGGTCTATGAGACAATTGTTATTCCTACACTCCTTTTATGGTTGCGAAATCTGGGTGACCTGTCAACAGCACCTCAAGAGTCTGGAGAGGTACCACCAACGATGCCTCCGAAAGATCCTTCGCATCAAGTGGGAGGATCACTGCACTAACGTCAGTATCCTCACTGAAGCTAATGTCCCCATCATTGAAGCAATGATCCTCATGCTTTCTGGGCTGGACATTGTGTCCCAAAACAAGTCCTCTACTTTCCACTCACTCGTGGTCAGAGATCCCGTGGTGGTCAGAGAAAACGCTACAAGGACACCCTGAAAGTGAATCTGAAGAAAACTGATGTGGACATCATAAGCTGGAAGGAGCAAGCCACCAACCGACTCCAATGGCAGCGCATCCTCCATCAGGCAGTGGTCCACTTCGAGGAGAAGCACCTTGCCCTCGACGCTGTAAAGAGAGAGCGAGAAGGAAGGAAAAAGAACTTTCTCGGCACGCAGCTGACCCACCAGGAGTTGTCTATACCTACTGTGGGGAGATCTGTGGTTCCAGGATCAGACTCGTAAGTCATCTCAGGACCCATATGTAAATCCATTTTAGAGATCATCCTCGAATAGAGGGATTGCCAATGATGATGAGAGAAGGTTTTGTTTGTTTTCAGAAGTCACAGATATTAGTGATTCAACAGGATTCCTTTTGGAGCATTACAAAAGCAGAGATTCACAAGATGTGATTCTTTCCCTTTCAAATGACTGACCTGGGCTTGAGCAATGTCTTTACGTACTTGAAAAAATCCTGGAACATCTGCTGGCTCTTCTTTAAAAGGGTCCCAAAAGACCAGCAAGTGGTATTCCAAAATCACTTCCTTCAGCCCTGAAGTTGGAAAAGCCTTTGCTAAAAATCTTTTTGGCATGAGTGGTGTGTCTGTGAAACCTACTTCCACACCACATTTTCCTAGATTCTCAGACAGAGAAGTCAGTCTTTGCAGAAGATAGCCTTGTAGGAACTCTTCAAGAAGTTTCAGAGGCTGCAGTATCTGAGATTTTGGTGGGAAACTAGGGGTAGCACTTCTCTGGGTTCTATGGCTTCAAAAATTGCTCTGTGCTAAGGTGAGGCTCTTAGAGGTTCAGCCAGACCTTGGTGCAGTTGGCCTTCCCAGATCTTAATTGTCCTCAAGGAGAAAACTTCCTTGTATCTGGGCCATTTGGTTTAGTCTCCTGCACTAAGGCATCCATCTGATACATCCAGCATGATTTCCAAGAAATGCCTCTAAAGATGTCAAAGAAGAGGGCTTTCTGAAGATTCTACACCATCCTCTGTGCCCAGCTGTGATTATTCCTTATTGGGGTTGCTAGCTTTTGATTGCCCTGCCATTGTTGCCAAGGTAGTTGTGATGAAGTGAGGAATTTTCGCTAATATTTTTTATGAATACTGTGTGCACTTCAGTTTTCCCCTATATGCTGCATGGATAACTAGGTGGTTGGAAAAAGGCTGTTTACTCTTGGGCAGGCATGTGAATGGTGTGAATAGCGCCTAGCTCTGTCGGGTTTGGGGCCCAGTTCAGTGGAGGGTCTGTGAAGACAATGGCAAATCCAATCACCAAGACTTTTGGTACCTAGCAGCTAATGACCATGAATGGTCCACCGCCTCTGCAGGATGCCAGCTGTATTTGACCAGTTGGACAACAAATGACTGAGGAGGGGCCTGATAGAACTGGCTTGGGAACTTGAACAAAGAGGCTGGAGAGAGAGAGAGAGAGCGGGAGCCAGGGGTGGACACTGCTTTGCTGGGCTCTGGGTAACCAGAGTGGAGCATGCTCTAACTTTTTTTTCTTTATGCTAACCAAGGACTTTTTATGCTATGTTCCAGACGTCTAATAAACCCTGCTGTTCTTGCAATGCCTGCCAAGAGCCACTACAGATGCAGAAGGTGGGGGTGCATTACCCCCTTTGGGTGTGCAAATCTCTCTCGGGTGTCCAACTCAGGTGGACTCACTGAAGAGAGCTCATGGTGTGAAGTAGGGGTGCTGGAGGCTCTGAGGTTCAGTTCAAGGACGCAGGGAAGCCAAGTGTCTTACCCTAGTGAAAAAGTGAGATCCTAAGGAGGTCTGGTACCCTGAGGGGTGTCCTCCCAGGACTGTTTCAGAGCACTGGATCTGTGGATCCATGACAGGTGGTAGCAGAGGATGGCTTCTGAATGCACCAAGAGGATGGTTGGTTACTGAATGCACCAGAAGTATGTTGTAGTACGTGTCTAGCATCAGTAAAACAAGGGTAGTCAAGGGAAATAGCCAGAAAATGGTGTATAACCATCTCCCTAAAAAGAAAATTGCAAACCTGCGCATGGAGAGGATTAGGCATTGGGAAGATCAAGAAGATGCAGCTAATTGCATGGCTGGAGAAGAATGATCAGTTTAAGAGGCAAGTTCCAGCCCCAAATGTGTCCCCAACAGAGTCCAGAAACAGCACCAGAGAGAGCAGCCAGGGCAGCAGCAGGGTGTCCACAAGACCCAGTTCCCCATCCAGCAAGGGACCTTCATGACCTTGCTCCCCATGAACAGATTTGAAGCAATGGGAGTTGGAGCTGAGAGCGAAGTTGCTGAAAACTGCAAGAAACAATGAAAGCATGAATGGGATATGAAGAAGCAGAGGAGCAAGAGGACCCACAGAGGAATATGTGAGGAGATGCCATGGGATGCCAAGTCTGCAAGGAACCTAGATACCAAATTGCTGCCCCAGTTTAAGGAGGTGGGGATGTAGATGCCTACCCCATTGCCTTTGAAAAGGCTTGTGATTTGAACCAGGTTAACCCTGTGGACTGGCTTTGCTGTCTCACCCCCTTACTCGGTCCCAAACCCATACAGGCTTACAGCCAGATGGATGGAGTTGATATTGGGGACTATGAACTATTCAAAAAAGCTTTGCTGCTCAGGTTTGAATTGATTCCTGAGGCATTTAGGAAAAGGTTTCAGAGTGTGCAAAAGACTTAGGATGTGACTTACTTGGAAGCCACCACCCTGATGGGAGAGTGTTTTGACAGATGGGGTAAGAGTGCAGGGGTCACCGTGCTGGAGGATTTGTATAACCTGATTGGGTTGGAGCAAGATTGAGTTGTGTTCTCAACACAGGCTGACAATGTGGTTAGTGAACAGGAAGCCCAAGGATTTGCACAGTGTGAGTCAATTGGCAGATGAAGGGGTCCTCCCAGGGACTATTCCAGAGCTGTTCTAGAGCACTGGACTTTGTGGATCTGTGATAATAGTGCATCCTTAATGCACTAGTTCTAGAGAAGGCCGGTGCTAAAGTTTTATGGGTTGGTGATGTGAAGGGTTGGAACTGAGAAGACTGACTTCTGCTCCTTGCTCAGTTCCCATTTCCTTAGGAAAGCCAGATTCTGGCACAGGCTGGCAAAGATCCCCGTTGTCTCAGACACTGCTGAGAGATCTTTAACTTCAATAGTGTCTTTAGGAAGACATGTATGATTTAGGAATTATGCATTTCCTCTGAGACTTAGACACAGATTTTGGATCTCTGTTGTGGGTGTATGGACCTCCTTAATCCAAAAACAAATGAGATCCTAGAGAAGCTGAAAGTGACTAAATCAACTGCTTCAGGCCTCAGCCATCTATTTATGGGTCAGTTCTGCATAGAAATCCAAACTAGAAAGTAGCCTTATGCCTTTCAGGGGAGATAGAGGAAGGAACTTCACTTCTGCTTCAGGCAGCATTGTTGCAAAGCAGCAATTTGAAGATGAGAGAGATGACCCTGTCCCAGGCTTCAAGGAAACAGATCCTTCAATGTGCCTCCCTTTTGGAGACCGTTTGTCCTTAAGGTGTGTTTTCTCTTTGACCATAGTAAACCATTTTCTTGGGCTGTTGGAGCTGGGAAATTATCAAACGGGGGTCTGACTTCCAGTTCCAGGCTCTGTCTGTCACACACTCGCTCTTGCGCTCTCTCTCTCTCTCTTTTCTCTTCAAGGATCCCTCTCATAAGAAACTTACAGGACAAGGTTTTGGCTTTAGTAAAATTTGAGAAAAGAAAATGTCAGACCCTTACAGGAGAAAGGGATTTTATTCCCAGTATTATTCCTTTCATAAAAGGAAGAGTGACCTGCATACTATTATAGACCTCCCCAAACTGAACAAATGCCCAAGGGAAAATCAGATTCCACATGGTTTCTTCTGGGGAACATAACCCCTTTTTGTTTCTGCATTGGTTTGGGTCCTTTGTTTACTTGCTTACTTACACAACTTGATTAGCACAAGTAGTACCACAACTTTGTGATGTACCATGATCATTACCAATAGATGGCACTATCCTTTGGGAGAGTGGCATCTCCTAAAGTATTCCCCAAGTCTTTGGCTCTGATCACAGCTCATGTGCATCATCAGGGCTTACAGACTTATCCATACCTAGATGACTGGCTTATAGGAATTTCATCTTCAACATGGGTTAAGTTATGCCCTAAAGAAGTGTTCCATCTTCAAGACTCTCTTGGTCTGAGTGAAGAAAAAAATCAGACCTTATTCCAGTTAAGATTTTGACTTTCATAATGTCTGTCCTAAATTTCACAAGGGATTTAGCTTTGTCTACCTCAGGGCAAGTTGACAGAACTTACTAAGGCAGTTTTCTGAGGAAGTTGGGCTCAATGACCGTCTGCAGACTTCTCACCCTATTTGCATGTCTGCAGATGAAACCTTTACAAGGGTGAGGTCCAACGGGTCCTCCTGGAAAGCAGGAAACCCTCAACCAGAGACTTACCGCAGGTATGGACTCCTGTCCTGCAGTGGGATCTTAACTTGGTCCTCTCTAGGATCACCGGCCCGCTCCTTAAGCCACTGGGTTCCTGCTCCCTTTCCCACTGTCATGGAAGGTCGCGTTCCTGGTGGCGGTGACGTCGTCAAGATGGGTCTCTGAAATTAAAGCCTGACCTCAGGACCTCCATACACAGTCTTCTACAAAGATAAGGTTCGGTTGTGGCCCCACCCTGCCTTCCTGCCAAAGGTGGTCTCCACCTTCCATATGAACCAGGACATCTTCCTCCCGGTGTTCTGTCCCAAACTGCACAAGACCAGTGAGGAGAGCCATCTTCACTCCCTGGACGTCCGGAAGGCCCTGGGTTTCTACTTAGAATGTACCAGGCCTTTCCGAAAATCAACTCAACTCTTCATCACTACAGTGGATAGGATGAAGGGTCACCCAGTGTCCTCGCAGAGGATTTCCAGTTGGATTACCTCGTGCATAAGGACCTGTTACGACCTGGCTGGGATTCCGCCACCACCGATTGTCAGCGCCCACTCGATTACAGCGCAGGCATCTTCAGCGGCCTTCCTGGCACACATCCCTATCCAGGATATCTGTAGAGCTGCAACATAGTCCTCTGTTCACACGTTTACTTCTCATTATGCCATCACTCAGCTGGTCAGAGACTACGCTGGGTTTGACAGAGCTGTGATGCAATTTACATGTCCGTGAACTCCTACCCACCTTCAGAGGTATTGCTTTGGAATCACCTAATATGGAATGAACACTTGAAGAAAAGACAGTTATCTTTTCCATAACTGATGTTCTTTGAGATGTGATGCTCATGTCCATTCCACAACCCGCCCTCCTTCCCCACTGTCGGAGTTTCTGGCAAGAAGGAACTGAGGGTTGGGGGAGCCAGCAGCACCTCTTACACTGTGCCATTTGGGTGCCAGTCCTCTACGGATACTGCTGAGGGCACTGGTGCATGTGGCGAGAACACATGCCTAATGGAATGGACATGAGCAACACATCTCAAAGAACACCAGTTACGGAAAAGGTAGCTGTCTTTTCTCTGTACAATGTAGCAAGAACAGAGGCAGTTTGCGGAGCACAGTGCTTAATCCACTGGCCAATTAGCAAAGCTCTATGGAGGCAAAGCCAGGAAGGCATTGCTTATCTTACATAACTCCTGTTCTGTGACTGTATAGCCTCTAGAGCACCACACTGGGTCACGCTCTCTTTCTCCCTCTGCTATTTTTTGGAGCCCAGTTACATTTAGGTGTTCTGGAGGCAGAGGGGAAACAAGGAGAGCATTGGTGAGGGAAGGCCACCTATACTCTCTGGTGCAGGTAGGCTTCATGTCCTAGACCAGTGTTTCCCAAACTTGGGACGCCACTTGTGTAGGAAAAGCCCCTGGCGGGCCGGGCCGGTTTGTTTACCGGCCACGTCCGCAGGTTCGACCGATCGCGGCTCCCACTGGCTGTGGTTCGCTGCTTCAGGCCAATGGGAGCTGCTGGAAGCAGCGCGGGCTGAGGGACATAATGGCCGCTGCTTCCAGGGGCTTTCCCTACACAAGCGGCTTCCCAAGTTTGGAAAACACTGTCCTAGACTAATTGTCTATAGTCTTTATGGTTCCAAAGATAGCATTCAGAATCTGCATCAAATATACTGGCGTCTGATCCCAAGCTAGAAATGTTCTCTGAGAAGTCTGAATTGCTCTCTCTCATATCATTGTGCTAACTGAAGCCTAATGATGGGTAATTGAAATGTCAACTATTTCACTTCACTTCACCAGAAAAATCAATCTAATGTACTTAAATGTCATGGAGCATCTAGTTTGTGTTGAGTTGAGTTTAAGGCTAGAAGGAATGACCAGATCATCTAGTCTGGTCTTCTGTATACGATGGGCAACAAACGCTAAAACCAACAACTAAAGTATTACCGCACACAGGAGACTAAACTACTATGTTGCCACTGACAGAAAATAGGAGGAACTGAGTATACATCAATGCCTGAGGTCCCTGCAATGGCAGGGAATTGATGAAGTGAGATAATCCTGGCAAGTGACCTGCGTGCTCCATGCTACAGAAGAAGGCAAAAACAGCAAAACCTGAAGTTTCACTGCCAATCTGACCTGGGGGGATATTTCTTGCCAAACCCACATATGGATCTGATCTCCATCTGTGGCCATCTTTGATGCTTCAAAGGAGGGCAACTAACCCCCACTCCCCCAGGATACATTGGGGGTGAGAATCCTTTCTTGACCCCTGTGTGTGACCAGCTGAAGCCTGAAGCATAAGCTTTAAAAGCAAGATATAAACTGGAAAGGATCCCCAGGGCTGCCAACCCCTGTCACCTGCCAAATCCTTAATTCTCCCACAGTCAGTCACTTCTAAGCCAGAGTTCCCTTCATGCACCCCTCAGATTTCTTATTTTATGTGCATACAATTAATCTTTCCATATAGCAGGTTTTTTCTCATTTTAATAATGAGAATATTTACACTTCAGTTTAGTGGTTTGGCTACGCGTTTTCAAATGTGCTCTGGAAACTAAATCTAACCTTCTTTTTCTACCAGCTCATAGCTTTGATGGCTTAATACCAATGATGAATGGAGGAAATGAGGATGATGCTGACAATATGCACATTGATAAAGAGCTTGCTGTTGTATCAGGTGGGAGTGGACAGTTTCCTGTTAACTACAACAACATACAAATGGTTGAAGACACCAAACAACAGGAGAGTGGTTCTGTTGGACCAAAAGAGATTGAAATTTACACAGTTTCTGCAATGCAAACTCCCTGTCGTTGCAAGAATCAATATGCATTTTATTTCTAATTTAAATATAAAACATCTTATTTTTTGCACACTGTTGTCCAGAGTCTTGAAAACTATTGTATTACTGTAACAGCTATTATATTTGGGTTTTTAAGTAGATATTGAAGATTAGCTGTTTCATAGAACAAACTGCAAGGGTATAAGGGAGACCTTATTGATAGATCTAATCTAAACAGAAGTTCACTATGGCTGTTTCAATTTAATTAAAGGCTTACATTTCATGTGCCTTGTCTTTAGTTACTATGTTTGCAGCTTAAAGGAAAATTCAGAGGTATTTTAAATGATTGGGTTAATTGGTACCAACTAGACTTAATTGCCAATATTGTACAAGGAAAAGTATATCCTAATGGTTTATATAGTTCTTGAAACAATGTGTGGTGCCTCTTAGCTAGTTTCAAACTAGCTCAACATATGCTAAAAATAATAGTCCAAACTTAGCGACTGTGTGTTCAATATTTGTTCAAACACAGCAATATGACTGTAGAAATCATGTAGTGAACAGCTATTGCTTTTGTTTTATGTGGATAAAAGACTATTGATGCCATGGAACTTTCAATGAGTTGCCATTTGGAACAATCTTGGAAACTGTTTTGGATTTTGTATCAGTCTTCATGAAAACAGCCACATTGTTAGTAGTAGTGCATATTAGTACTTTAATTTTTTCAGGGGCCGCTTGATCAAGATGCTTTTTAATAACCTGAGTGTATATAGAGTTACGCTGTCTTAAGAAAAATTGTCTTGGGTCAGCTTGTCCATCCACTTGGTAGGTAAAGGGAGGAGTTACTATTTTAGTGTATTATTAAATTTTGAAATGAATATTCATGTTGTAAGTCATACTATGATAAAATGTTTCTGCTTGATACCATTGGTCGGATTCACCAAAAGTAGATGAAAAGCTCCAGTGATAGTTGCCAAATGTTTATATTTATTGAAAAGTAGTTGACTTTCTCTTTCATAAATATTGTGTATTGTTATGGATCCTTATTTTCAACAAATATAAAAATGCTATAATTATCACTAGAACTATTCACTATTTGCTTTTGAATATTCACTAACAGAAATGCCATTGTTAACGTCATCCACTTGGCAAGGTAGCCTAAATTATCAATTTTAAAACAGAACTCTGCACTTTTTCCAGTTTAAAATTTTGATAATGTGTTTATTATGTGCGTCTTCGTCACAATATTAGTAGGCATAATGTGTTGACTTTTTTTTGTTTTTTTCCTTTTAACTTGACCTCCAACAGGATTCTGTGGCTAGTAAGTTTAGTTAATGTGATTATTTTAAGCAGTTTAGGGATAAAGCAGGAAACTTCAGTTGCTGCACTTTAGTGTCACCGATAACTCTCAATTCATTCACTTTCTTGGCATTGTGCATTACTATATGTGAAATACCAATGTCATATTATGTATATCAGTTTATATTTACGTGGAGAACCACAACTTTCCACTTCTTCGGTGTAAAACCGTGGTACTCATTACCTTTCCTTCAAACAAGGACCCCATGTTTTAAAATCTGGCAATTTAGTAAGAATACTTAACTGTCCTGAGCTAGAAATAAAACAAATGATACTTTTCTACACAAAGATTTCTGCGTTAATATGTACATAAATGTATGTGTATATGTTCAGAGAGAGACAGAAAATGTAAAATGCTCAAATATCAAAATACAGAGCTCAAGTTTCTAGGTTTGCCCTGCTTATCATTAGAGACACACACATGCAGATACACCCCAATAGGTAATTTTAGGACACACCTAGTAATCTATTTTTTGTGCTAGTACTTTGAGTACAACTGCAAAAACCTATATTTGAAACTTGACTGAAATTTAGTTTTACCAAAAAGGTCATTAGTGTACTAATTACTAAAATTCAAACGAGAAATTGCTTAAAGCAGTCTGTTTTTTTGCATGCATGTTTTTAGTATTTCTGTGCATTTTGCTGTTGTATGGCATTTTGCATGTGCATTGTACAGATGTTACAAATCTATCATTAAGAAAAAACATATTTTTCCTGCTTAATATATTCTCAAGTAAACTACCAGTTATACTGAAATTAATTGTTCGATATACAACCTTAGGAAACATTTTACATTAGCTTCCCCATTGACATAAGCTTGTTCATATTGCCTGCTTCGATGTGTACTGTTACCTGAGATCTGTCACTAAAGAGGAGGCAAGAAACTTTAAATTAATCACCACTGCTAAAAACTGTAGTCCACTCAAATTTCAGTTCTTACACAGAGATTCTTTAGTTCCTGGTGGATTTTAAATTTGTGTAAAAAGGTATCTTAACTTCAAAAGCCTTTGTCCTCTTTCTCAAAATACTATTTGGAATTTTGTCTGCTTTGTTACTCTACGCTTGTCACTTAATTTCTTATTTTTCTAAAATTCACACTGTCTTAGAAAGATTAGCATAGCTATATATATATATTTACATTTCTAATTTAGTTAGCAGTTATGTTTTTGAAATTGAAATTAGCTTTCAAATTTACTGATCAAAGCCAGATTACATTACTTTTAAACCACCTGTGTTGACATGGAATATAAAAATTAGGTTTGCACTCAAGTGTGTGGTGGTTTTGGTTTTTTTGTTTTGGTTTTTTTTCCCCCAAGTTTCCATACATAAGTTTTGAAAAACAAAGTGGAGTGCAGTGGAGACATTTTTATGTATTTCCATTGATTCTCAATTTTTGGTGACAGATGTATTTCTTAATGCAGATATGAATAGCAGTAGCTCCGTTTTGAATGCATTGACAAATGGATGTACCATCAATGGACATTTGGACTTCACCGCCATAACACAGTTCAATGGAATGGATGCCAGGCATGGAGAATGTTTAACATTAATACCTAATGGAATAACTCCTGGTGTCGCTTCTGCCAATAGGCACAGAATTCACACCAGTAATGGCACTGAAGAACCAGAAAAAGCCATGAATACTTCTGCCGATATGTGTGGTTCACTGCATCTGAATGGAAGCCCAAGTAGCTTTGTGTCTAACAGGCCCTCATGGGTTGAAGATCTTGGAGATACTTTGCACTATGGGCATTATCATGGTTTTGGGGATACTGCTGAAAGCATCCCTGAACTTAACAGTGTTGTTGAGCATTCCAATTCTGTTAAAGTTGAACAGAAATACGATAATACTGTCTTAGGCACAATGTATCTTTATCATGGTTCCTAAATCAACATATTCTTGTTTGTCAAATTCATGTTGAAATTGTTAGCAAATGTGACAAAAAATTCTCACCTAGCATTAAATCTGAAGAATGCAACTATTACTATTTTTACACTTTGTTTATATAAAAAGTAAACCTTTCATTTGACAGTCTTCTACTATAGTTCTAATTTGTTGCATGTATGGGGCTTATTTAGTGATGCAAGTAGGTGGTGTTACAATGAAATGTTTATTCTTTGCATTTTACTATGGAATGTTGTGGTTTTGTACTTTTTTTTAATTTTTATTTTTTTATTTCCAAGCTAGTGAACATTATCTTTCCCCTTTTTAAAAAATGTTTTCCCTCTTATTAATATGATCACACTGTATTGAATTTTGTGCAGAAAACAAGTTGTGTGTTTGTGCATCACTCTTGAAGTAAATATTTTCCTTTTTTGTATTTTCTGCTGAAGCTATGGTAGCAACATCAATGCCAGCTGTCACTATGCAAGGTTTGGAAAGTGGTGTTCTTAAAGGAGTTTCTCTGATTTACAAATTTGTGCGTTTAATAGAATTGAAAGTTCATCTTTACTTTCTATGACAAATGAAATGTTAAAAATGCAACGACAAACTTCTGAAAAATGTTTCACTTTAATGTAGCATAGGAATTATTTTCTTCTTTGTTAGGGCCCTTTGCATTATAGAAGTGGAAAAGCAGATTACCCATATTGGTTGCAAGTCACGGTTGGTTCTGATTTTTGGCCTTTTTTATTTTGCTTCTCTACTTTAAATGTGTGCTTGATATTTTACCATAGCTCACAGCCTGGAGGCATGTTGGCACTGTTTTTGCTTTTTATGCAATTTAAAATTACTGCTACTTGTTATAGAAATCGTCAGGTCAAAATATTTGACTGATTTTGATATACTGTACATATATTTTGTTTGCTTTGTGTTTTTTTACAACTGCTTTGAAAATCTAATGCTGTGTATATCTAGCCAGTTAAGATACTTTTAGGGCTATGTTAACTGAAAATACATTGTATTTAAAGCTTATTACAAAAGTAAACATTCATACAAGTGCTCTGTACAAACATTAAATAATGTAAGATACTACTTTTGTGATTTGATAAACGAACGGTGGGAGAATATATTAAACAAGAGAAAGCCAGTAAGTCCTTTGAACTGTATCAATTTTTTGTTGTTTAAAAGGGATGTTTACAAATTGGATTTTAAAAAAACTCTATTGTATCTGTATTTATTTTATTTGGAAGTGATACATTCATGGATTATATGAACAAGTGTTTAATAATTTTAAAGTCAAATCTCACTTACCTATTTAATCCTTCTTAATCCCTGTGTGGAATTTTCGTTTATTTTCATTATGTGGAATTATAAAAAAAGAAGGTAAATAGGCTGGCAAGCTATCTTTGACTGAATTTCTTCGCTCTTTCAAAGATACTTGTACATGTTTTCTACAGTATGTGTAAAGACTATATCAGTCCTGAGCTCCAAAGAAAGATCAGAAATGTTAGCTCTGAGTTTCACACTGAAATTGTGTAGTACTCAGTTTTCCCTTAAACATTTTATTAGGAAAAAGTCTGAAAAATCAATATTTTCTAATAGAACTTACAGTATTGTTTCATATATCACCATTCTGATATAAAATCCCACAAAGCAAATTAAAGAGTAGTGAGTTAGATATTAGTTGAGTTACAATAACAGTATAAGCAAATGGAGCAGTTGGCCAGAATAATGCACTTAACTTCTGGGGACAAATGAGATGTGCAGCGGAACCTAAATCTCACCTGAAGCATGGCGCCTCTAGCATTCTATAATTTTGGTCAAACTAACACTTCAGACTTAAAGCTTGATTAAAACATTTTTCCAAGTGCTATTTTAGAGTTTTACATATGCTTTTGTTTAGACATGTTTGGACAAATCAAAGCCATTAGTAGTTATAGCAGTGTGCTGTCTGGATTTTCCTCCTCAGGTTACAACTAATCTTGCACACATGTTGCTTGGCTACATTTTATAGTTTTCAATGAGGTTTTATATACCCAAGTGAAGTATAACTCAAGACTTAAATTTCCTGTCAGACAAGCTTTTAAGGAAATATGTACTATGTTCAGCTTTCATTCACTATTACTTAAACAAATTTCAGACACTCATTTTTTCTTCAGAAATATTTGACTGAATAATGTAGTATCTCTATCCTACCTGTGAAACATTTTCTTCAGACCCCTCTTCTCATTCAAATACTTTATTGCTTCCAAGACTAAATTTCCAAAACTGAAACTTGAGGTCCTTGATTGCTGCCTGTTGTAAATTCTTAAGATGTCGTCTGTATGCTTCTAAAGTCCACTGAAGTCCTCAAAGCAAAATAAGGTTGCAAGAGTGCAGTATGTGAGTTAAGAAGGAGATTGATGAGGCAGTTTTGAGTTTATATGCTGGAATTGAAAGAGAGAAGTGCAGGCTATTAACATAGCCCTGTTTTCACTACTGTACAGAGGCAGAGAGTTGGAGCATACTCCTGGTCTGAGATTGAATACTGATATGAATAGTTAAAGGCTATTTGGCTGTTTTTAATTATTAGTATAAATAAGCTTTGCTGCTTTGAATAAGAGGATGAATTTTGCTATCTTACATGTTTGTAACTCCATTGCCTTCAATGGCAATTTTGTGTTAGATGGCAGAATATGGGCTGCAGCTTTGCTTAACGAAAAGCAAGTGGAATAAATGTGCTGCTTTTGGCAGAAAAAATGCAGATAGATTTGAACTACATATAATCAAATGGCAATAAATGTTTATGCAGTTAGTTTCCTAGTGACAGCTCATATCCTTCCAGAATATTGAGTTTAGCAAAATTTAAACGGAAAACCAAGAAATACACTGTTAAGGTAAACATGCACCCAACCTTGACTCTGCCCCATGGCAATGGTAATACCCACTGGGAATTATCTGCATGCACTGCAGCTGAAGTCACTGGGTTGTAGCTATATTGAATGGTATATGCAATAGGTGAGACTAGGTGGTAGAGGTCTGTTTGTGAGCTGTGTAATATTGTTGAGGTGATTGGGGTTTGCTCTTACCCAATCAGTGTAAGGAAAGGGAAGCATATATACCCTAAAAATGGAACTAGTATGCATCAGTTTATTGCAAAATTATGTAGGTTGGTGCTGAGGTAGTGCCAGGTATGGTCTCCGGGGACTAAGGTTGGGGCTGGGGCAGGTAGGATGCCCCTAGCCCACAGTTAGGTGAAGGGCAGATAGGGCACCTCATCCTAAGGTCAGGTTTAGAAGTAGTGTTCCTTCTGGCCTGGGTTATGGATGGGGCAGGTAGGGTCACCCTGGTCCAGTGTTAGAGATGGGGCAGGCAGGGAGGTACCCCAGTATAGGATTGGGGTGTGACCAGAAAGTGTCTCAGATGAGAATGAGCGCTGGGGTTAAAATTGGGCTGGAAAAGTGCTTCAGGCTTGGGTTACATTGAAGGGCAGGTAGGGCCCGCCCCCCAGCCTAGGGTTTGGGCAGGAAGGGCACCATGTTCTAGGGTTAGAGGTTGGAGTAGATAAACTTTCACAAATTCTGGTTTGGGCAGGTACAGTCCCATAAGCCTAGGGTTAGGGTTGGAACAGGTAGGGCCTCCTGCCCTAGGGTTAGCATTGGGGTAGAAAAAGTCTCTCAGGTTATGGCTGGGGTAGATAGTACTCCCAGGGTTAGGGTTGGGGCAGGTAGGAACCCAAAGTCTAGGCTTAGGTCTGGAGCAAGTGAGGGTCTCAGGCCTAGCATTATGGTCAGGTGTCTCAGCGTAGGGTTAGGCCTATATTGTCCCTATGTACTTACATGGATCCCTGAAGGCGACTTATCTAGTGAACGAAAAAGGACCTTCCTCTCTTTCGAGGGAAAGGACCAGAAGAAATATATGTTATCAACTGATTCTGTGGGACAACAAATGAAAAAACATGAATGGAAGTGAGGCTCATAGGTTTACAATCAGTGTTTCTGAGGGGGAGACCAAGTGGAGATCCCTGGACAATGTCCACTGCTCCTCAAGAGTTCAGAGAGCTAATGGATGCTGCCCAGAGAAACTTCCCAGAGATTTGAACAGACAAGTGCACAAAATCAACCCCCACAGTCTTGGTCTCAGATAACCCCTCCATCCAACCTCTTCTTTCTTGATTGGATATATGGCCTATTAGCTGAAAGCCAGAAGGAGGCTGACAAGGAGGTTCTGCAACTTCGTGGGCTCATAGATAGGACATGCATAAATAAAAAGGTGTGGGGAAAAGTGAAGAGACAACCTCAACAAGACATTCTGGAAGAGGCAGAAAAGGGACTGCACGCTGTCAAGATACATGTGCCAGGGTCTTCCTCTCACCACAAGGAAAACAACTGTAAGGGGAATCCAAAAACTGCATCAACAATAGGCCGCTGTTCATGTCTCTGTGAAGGAACTGCCAAATTAAATTCCTGACAGGCTGTGGCAGCCAGGTGGAATACAGGCTAGCCCACCAAGACTCCTCACCCTCCATAGATGGCAACAGCTCCCACCATTACATCTTGGGGTGGGATATGAGGGTGAAGAAATTAATAGCATGGAGTATAAGCTTGTATAGATGTCCCTGTGATGTAGCTTGGAATCAGGCCAGCCAGGCCTTACTGAGTTGGCTTATATGGGAAATTCAAAGCAGCTAGGGAGAGGGGCTTGCAGGGTAGGGGCCTAACCTGAAGCTTTGAAGGGCCAGAGGAAATGGGTGGGCAGGGAACACTATAGAACAGGGGTAGGCAACCTATGGCACACGTGCCGAAGGTGGCACGTGAGCTGATTTTCAGTGGCATTCACACTGCCCGGGTCCTGGCCACCAGTCCGGGGGGCTCTGCATTTTAATTTAATTTTAAATGAAGCTTCTTAAACATTTAAAAAACCTTATTTACTTTACATACAATAATAGTTTAGTTATATATTATAGACTTATAGAAAGAGACCACCTAAAAACGTTAAAATGTATTACTGGCGTGTGAAACCTTAAATTAGAGTGAATAAATGAAGACTCGGCACATCACTTCTGAAAGGTTGCCGACCCCTACTATAGAGGCTGGGAGCATGCGTATTATCCCACCGAGTCTCTGTAATGCCAACTATGTCACAGTTGTGTTTATTTACTAGCATTTTGAATTCTTCCTGCTTATTCCCCATACTTCTCACATTAGTATACAGACATCTAAACTACTGATTTGATTCCCACGCCCCCAATTCTGTCTTGTCTCTCCTTTATCCCTGCTATAACAGCCCTTGCTCCCCTCAAATTCCAACCCTTCTCCCAGGTCTCCATGTTTTTTACTTACCTGTGGGCTTTTGTCACCTGCCCCCTTCAAACCTAGTTTAAAGCCAGAGGTTAGCCAGTCTATCCAAATATGCTCTTCCCCTTCCTCGATAGGTGAACCCCATCTCTGCTTCGCGGTCCTTCTTCCTGGAATAGCATCCCGTGGTCAAGGAAGCCAAAGCCCTCCTGACGACACCAGCCAGGCATTCACCTCCAGGATGCATTTGTCTCTGCCTGGTCCCCTACCCTTGACTGGAAGGACTGAAGAGAACACCACCTGTGCTCCCAACTCCTTCACCCATACTCCCAGAGCCCTGTAGTCACTTCTGATTTGCTGAGGGTCATACCCCACAGTATCATTAGTGCCCACATGGATGAGTAGCATGGGGTAGTATTCAGAGGGCCAGATGATTCTCGATGATCCCTCCGTAACATCTCGGATATGGGCCCCTGGCAGCAGCATACCTCCCGGGATGCCATGTCAGGGCAACAGATGGGTGCCTCTCACCCTCAGAAGAGAGTCACCAACCACCATTACCCTACGTTTCCTCTGGGGAGTGGTGGCTGTGATCTTCCCAGCCTTAGGGGTACATGGCTTCTCCTCCTCCACCTTTGGGGGTGATTCCTCACCGCTCATTGTTAAGGCAGCAGATTGATTTTCCATCACCATGGTGGGTGGGTGGGAGTAGGGGTGGAGCACTGCCTGCTGCCAGAAGTAACCAGCAGCCAGTGTCCTCCCTGTGACAGAGCCATATCCTCCTCCCCCAGTGGTGTGACAGCAATGCTCTCTAGCTGGATAGCTTCCTCAGCCTTGCATGTCTCCTTATGAATATTCTTGAGGAATTCCTTGTGGGCACAGATGCTCCTCAGCCTAGCCACCTCCTCCTGTAGCTCTCCCACCTGCTTCCTGAGAGATTCCACCAGCAGGCACCTCTCACACTGGATGGTCCCCCCAGCCTGGCTTTCTGCGGGTGGGAAATGCAGGCTACAGTCTCTGCAAATCCACACCAGGATCTAGGTAGAGGCATGCATGGTTAGGTTGTCTGTCTGGATACAGGTGCAGGTGGAGGAGACAGCAGCAGCAGCAGCATTGGCACTGGCAATGCAGCCCTTCCTAACCATAGCAATTATATTATGACTCCATCTTACAAACTCCCTCTCAAACTCCCCTGTTTACAGTCCCCTGTTCGCTAACCTTGTTACTCTTCTGCCTCAACAAGAGAGAGATTTGCTGCTGCTAAACAGTGTGTCAGTTACCAGACATTCCAGTCTGTTAGCCTGTCCAACAAACACCTGTAAGGCAAGAAAAAGACTGTCAGAAGCCCGAGGAAATGCTTGATGTCCCTAGATCCTGAACCCCCCTGAAGAGGGTTCCTCAGCAGTATTCAGCCCGTCACTGGACACATACAGAAAATACCAACTCCACTGTCTCCAAGGAGACAGATTACACACCAGCAGGGCCAGTGCAACCACTAGGCGAACTAGGCAGCCGCCTAGAGCGCCTAGTGGTTGAGGGCGCCTAAAAGCCCGCTCAGGCGAAGAGGTGGAGTGGAGGTGAGCTGAGGCAGGGGGGCGCGGGGAGGGCTGCCCGCAGTAACGGGGGGGGGGGCACACAGGGGAACCGCTCCCCGCCCCAGATCACTTCCACTCTGCCTCCTCCGCTGAGCACACAGCCCCCGCTCTAAGTCTCCTCCAATCGGTGCTGCAAGCCCGGGAGGAGAATTAGAGCAGCGCCGGCGTGCTCAGCGGAGGTGAGCTGGGGCAGGCTTCCCGGGCGGGGTTAGCTGCTGCGGGGGGGGCTCCCCGGGTGGGGTTAGCTGCCGTGGAGGGGGTTCCCGGGCAGGGTTAGCTGCAGAGTGGGGGTAGCGTACTGTGGGGGGGGGGGGAAGCGTCCCCGGGTGATGGGCTGCGTTAGCTGCCGTGGGGGGTGTGGGGTTAGCTGCCGCGGGGGGGAGGGGGTGTGGTTAGCTGGGGGGGGGTGGCGCAAGGTGGAAGTTTCGCCTAGGGTGCGAAACTTCCTTGCACCGGCCCTGCACACCAGCATGTTGGCCCAGCAGACGATGCACACTTCACTTTAACAGAACAGTGCTGAGATGGATTTATAATAAAACAAGAATGAGTTCATTAATAAACAACAGAGATGTAAGTGATACTAAGTAGAGACAATAGAAACAGAAAATGGTTACAAATAAAACAAAAGTATAATCATATGTTCTAGTGTCTAAAACTTAACAAGTTACAATTCTGAAACAGACCCTTGATGGAGACTTGTACACTCTTCAGGGATGAATGCACCTCACTGACACAGCATTGTCAGAATGGGAAAGTTTATTAGTCATCTGGAACACAGCATAGGAAGTGCTTAGGTTAGCCTACAGAACTGAAGGTTAAAGCATAGTCCATTCTGGGTAGCTCAGCACCAAGCCAAGCTAAGCTTCGTGATCTCCACTGTTCAATTTCTGTCTCTCCATCTGTTAGACTTCCGTGGTCAGAACCTCAGGTTAGAGCCCTGACTGCCTCTAGCAGCGAACACTTATCCCCCACCACATACCTCTCCAGTCCTTTGATCTTGAGCTGCTGAGTGGTGAGGAAGTCCATACCTCTCTGGGTCGCTGTGTGCTAGGTCTCACTGTTTAGGCAACTGGATTTGCCATTTTCTTCTCAGGGGCTTCATCAATGGGGGACCAAGACCCAGACAGCTCGGCGAGCCCCATATCTACATCTTCATCTGCCTTGAGAGCAAACAGCTCCTTTCCAACTCCGAGATAACAATGCAGCTTACAGGGGAAACTGAGGCACACATAGGCTTCATAAATATATTACAAAAAATTCTCACTTTGTCACACCTCAAAAGGTTATCTCTTCCTAGCACTGAGGCAGGACTAGGTATTATCTTCTAGACCATCCCTGACAGGTGTTTGTCTAACCTGTTCTTAAAAATTTCCAGTGATAGAGTCCACAACCTGCCTAGATAATTTGCTCCAGTGCTTAACTACACATGTATAACTATAATATGTGTATTATTTAAAGGTAAGCTTTTGCTTTTCATTAATACAGTGAACTCTGTTTTCTACTGCTGGGTATGACATAGCAAGCCTAAAGGAGTTGAACCTATACAAAGCCAGTAGGTGGATTGGTATTTTCTTTGATGTTGCATGGTGAAGTAAATTATTGTTTCCTGTATTCCTTGTTATAGTACCCAGATGTACTATGGCTGTGTAGGAAATATAATAGATTGTAGATTCAGTTCTCTATCCATTTTTGAGATGGTAAGTATGGACATTATTGTAAGAACCTGCATTGAAGAAAATATTTTATATCTTTTTAGGATATTCCAACACAATATATTTCCAAAATAGCGTTTGTGTGAGCAGATGCCCTTTGAAAGTTAGTGTCTTGTATCCTCTGCCATGTATTTTGGCAACAGCATTGCGAGTCTGAGAAGCCCGGTGAATTTCATGTGGCCCATAGTATTTTCAACTCCCAGAGTAGCTTTATATTAAGCACTACAATTCATTAAGAGTCAGAAAAACATTTTTTTAAACTTAAAATTATGTTTTAAAATATTGAAGAAAATTTCAGATAGAATTTAATAATGGTCCCTAAAGATTATTTTTTACAAGTTGTAGACTTCCAGCATGTGCTTAATATCAAATGATGTGGCAAGTCATAATTTCCCGGCGTTACCTGAAGTGCTGCTGTGTCTGGTTAGTGCTTGATGGGTGTCTCCCAGAAGCACTCATGTGGTCTGAACCTAAATTCTGATGCTGCTTTCTGCAGCAAACTAGAAATGCTTCCACAAGTTAGCATTTTTATTATTATTTAATTACTGTGTAAATGAATAATCAGTATTCTTTGTTACTTATTTTGATATTAAATTAAACTTATATGACACTATTCCAACACAGCTTTTCAATTTCCAGTGTGCCACAAAATTTTGTATTGAAAATGCACAATTGTGTTGTAACCATTGCCATTTTGGGGTGGAGCGGCCGGGGGCGGGGGGAAGAGATAGGGGGAAGGAAATGGAGAGGCTAGAAGCAGGCTGGGGATTCTGGTATCCAGAAAGTCATAGGAACAGTTTGAGAATCTGGAACCCACACTCTTGAGCCTTCTGGCAGTGGGTAAGGAGGGGGCACATTTTCATGTTCCAACTTCTTCCCTTTCAAGTGCTGTCAGAGGGGAGCCTGGTGAATGCTTGACAGCCAGCTGCCCCAATTGCCCCGTTCTCATATGCCCCATTGTTTGTCAGTCCTCCCCATGTCAGGCAGCCTTCACAGTGGGATTTGTCTAACTGGCAACTGGAGATCTTTGCTCTGAGCCTGGGCGTAGGACTGTCCCTTGGGAAGAGCTCTCCAGAACTCTGCCTCCAGGCGGCACATGCAGCAGATTCCAGGGAGTTTCGAAAAGACTTTTAACCAAATGTCACTCAGTTTCTTCATTGGCTTTGAGGATTTTCTCTTCAAAATTGATACTCAAAAAATAAAAAAGTCTTTTTCTGAGGTGGGTTTGAAGGACAGCACCTTTCCTCCCAGAGAAGGCAGACAGTGAGGCCCTGGTGCAAGAATAGGTTAGGTCTCCCCTCCTCTGGCATCCTCATCCTTCATCCCTGGGGCCAGAGACCCTTGCCCGCCCAACCCTTCCCCTGGAGCCGCTCAGCTCAACCACAACGGGACATGGGCACCCCCTGTCTGGCCCCTGTAACTTCTGCAAACCCCAGTCCACCCCCACCGCCTTTTCGGATGAGCTTCTCCCTGTTGAAGTAGCAGCCACAGTGTGAGTCCATGGCAATGGCACCGGCCAGGGCAAGGACAAGGGGCTACCTGGCCCTGTGCGGGATGAAGCTCCACCAGCGCTGGAGATGCTGCTAGGAGCAGCCCCAAGCTGCTCAGTGCCTGAGCTGAGGATGAGGAGTGGCTGGGGAAGGGGTGGAGAGCTTCCCCAGCCACCCAGCAGGGCCACTTCCTGCTGCTCTGCTGGATGCGCCCCTCTAATATCATGGGCCCTGGGGTGACTGCAGCATTGTAGCTATACCAGAAGCTGTTTTACCTGCAAGACCTCAGCTACCTTGAAGGTGCCAGCTCCTGTGACCTCTCTGATACCAATGAGTCCTTTGTGTCCAGCAGCTCCAGCTCACTGCTCATTCTGTGCAGTCAGGCCCCACTCAGCCCTGCCCCAGCAGCAGGGAGCACAGTGTGAAGTGATTCAGATCCCTTTCCTTGGGAGATGAGCCTAACTCCTCTTCACCTCCAGCCTCCAGGAGTCCCACAGGAGGCCATCAGGCGGCTAGTAGTGTCCCCAGGGAGACATACAGGACATATGCTTGCCCTGTCCTTTCAATCTCCCTGATAACGCACTCGGCCCCTCACAGGCTCCTCTGCTTCCTCTCAGGGATTTGGCCCAGGGGCTGGTGAAGGATATTGCTCTCAATCAGCTCTTAAAAGGGCAGCACAAAGTCTCAACACATCTCAGGAGGGAGTCTCCCCTCTGGATCCTCTACAGAGAAGGAGAAATCTCTAAAGCTGGGGTACTTTAAGCGAGGCACCGCCGTCTCTCAACTAAACTTCCCAGAATTAAGCACGAATGGGAATCTAACTTCATAGATGCTTATGGTTTTAAAAAATGAAACACCCCAAACCAAAAAAACAACAGGTTTCAGAGTAGCAGCCGTGTTAGTCTGTATCCGCAAAAAGAAGAACAGGAGTACTTGTGGCACCTTAGAGACTAACAAATTTATTAGAGCATAAGCTTTCGTGGACTACAGCCCACTTCTTCGGATGCATATACTCCGGCAGATGGGCATCGGTGCCATGATCCTGTTGGGGCACAGCCTGGGGGGCTTCCTGGCGGCCTCCTACAGCCTGGCGTACCCTGAGAGGGTGAAGCACCTCATCCTGGTGGACCCCT